GGGCCACAGGCCCATATTAACACTGCGTTTTCCTTTCCCTTTGCTTTGCCCATTAGCAGCAATTAGCACGTTGAGCCCATGGGCGGGCGAGGTTGAAAACGTGCTCGTGACTTCGTGAGCTGGGCGGGGCATGCATGCATGCTTCGCATCGCACGTGACGGATATCAGCACAGCGTGCACGAGCCTATTAATTTGCTGGCTCGTTGCACGTGCAAAAAATGATGGCCATGCATGCGTGAGGTATACCGAATGCTTGAGGCTTTGAGCACAGAGCACCGTGGCATTTGCGACCAATGCAAGTCTGCCAGCGTCCGGCTAACGCTCCGGGCTGCCGGAGAGATGAAAGGAAAGGAAAGCAGGTAGAACGAAGTACGTAGAGACAGGCAGGAAGCAGAGGAAGAACGAAAAGGGAAAGAAGCAACGCCAGCAGGTATAATTAGGTGGACGTCCTCCTATATATGGCACCGTTTGACATTTTATAATCGGAAAAAAGTCAATTCTCTATTTACATTGAGAGCTAGGAGATAAAAAAAAAATCCACTCATCAATAATGCCAATATGCTCCATATTCAATCTCTCATCAAAATCATTTTAGAATCACTCCCCACATATTCTGCATATACAATTTCCTCGCTAGAATGGTCCATCAGAGAATCAGAAGTGGATCTAAGAACTAAAAGGTGGAATTTTACCAAACAGACTATATATATACACATTAATCCCTCTTCGCCGTTCCAATTTGTAAGACGTTTGAACTTTTTTACATACAAAATTTTTACTATGTACTTAGATTTTCTTTTTAGATAATATTGAACTATGTACTTAGATATACTATATATATATATATATATATATATATATATATAGTAAAAACAATGTATACACTACCGGAAAAGGCTTATTTGCCGACGGCCGGGAGGTTTGCCGATGGCCAGAGAATAAGCCATCGGCAGACCACAGGATTTGCCGATGGCAAAGCTGAGCCATCGGCAAAGATATTTTGCCGACGGTCCAGACATCGGCAAAGATGTGCCATCGCCAAAGTCGATCTTTGCCGACGGCAAAGCCATCGGCAAACCCGAGCCATCGGCAAATACTAATCTTTTGCCGACGGCCAGCCATCGGCAACGTCCGACCATCGGCAAAATTGGCCAAGAGGCGGACTCGGCCGACGCCCGCGACGCCGCGTTCTTTGCCGATGGCCTTGCCGTCGTGCCGTCGGGCAAAAGGGAAGGCTATGCCGACGGTAGTAATATCGGCATAGACGACAGCCACGTGGCGCCTCGGCCGCCCGGGCCACCGCCTATGCCGATGGTCGGCCAAGGGGGCGGATCGCGAGATCCCCATAGCGCCTCAGCAGCAGAGAAAGCGTTGCGCAGATGATGACGACACTTCGTAAGTGGAGTTTCATTCGTCGTTCACTTGTTTCACGCATGATGTACCTTGCCTTTAAATACCATCAACCATTACGGTGTAATATTGCGAGCCACGGTCCAAGAGCTGCAGCGCGCCAGCAGCCCAGCGGCTATCCAGCGCAATGGATGCGGCCCATCGAGGAGCAAAATACCGCACTTACGCAAAGACTACCAGAGACAGCCATGGACTGTCCCTACACTTCCGGCCCAGATCCCGGAATGCAGGAGCCTCCCCGCCTTGATCTTCGCTCCACCACCGGTAGTTCCACCGCTCGCTCTCGCACTCGTCGTGAGTACAATGATTGTCGCTTTAGCTTGTGCGGCCACCCTCTACGGTACTAATTACATAACTTGGTCTTTGTGCGAGCACCGCCGTCAGCGGGTTCGAACCCGACTCAAGTGGTAGCCCTCCACTTTGGGTCCTTCTCCACCGCACGCAGTGGGCACCTTACTGTAGCTTCCCCACGCACCGTGCGTCTGCCCTCCTCCACACAGTAGGGTACTCCTCCCGGCAGCAGCCAGGGGCACTACGGGCCTCCAGCGTCTGTCCATCTGCAGCAATTTGGGCGATCTTGGCAAGATCTGGTTCGCCCGGCAATGGGTTGGTCGCAGCGGGAGCAAGGTGGGGGCACGACTCCGAGTTGGTCTCCGTGGGAGCAAGGTGGTGGGGGCTCTGGGACCCCTGGGGACGGCGCCTCAAGCTAGGTACTACACTTGTCGCTTTTGGACCTTGTATGGATGACTATGTATGGATGACGATCGACATTTGTCGCTTGTGTATGGATGACTTGGAGGATATGTGGGTACCATGCTATATATGTGATGTGCGGATGAAAATGGTATTTTGTTGCTATATATGTGGGTCATATGCTATATATGTGATGTATGTGTTGAAATGTCGTGCAAATGCAAGCAAAACAGAAAAGGAAAGAAAAAAAAATTCCCAGGTTTGCCGATGGCCAGCCGTCGGCAAACCTGAGATTACTTGTCAGCAAATCCGGGTTTGCCGACGGCTTCCTGTGCCGTCGGCAAAATGACTCATAACTTTGCCGATGGCGGCCGTCGACAAAAATAGTTTGTCGGACGACCGTGGCGTCGCCATAGAAATTCGAAAAAAAAAAAAACGCTTTGCCGATGGTCGTGTTACGCGTCGGTCGTCGGCAAAGCCGCCGTCGTCGACCGACGGCGTCCGGTGACGTAAACGCTTTGCCGATTCTTGATGTGGCCATCGGCAAAGCTGCCGATGGCTCGATGACGATTAGCCATCGGCAAACCTCCCTTTGCTGAAGAAATGTCTGCCGATGGCTCTTTGCCGACGGCCACGTCGGATTGCCATCGGCAAAGCCTTTGCCGATGGCAATCCAGACTTCGCCGATGGATGCGGGCCATCGGCAAACAAGCCGGATCCGGTAGTGATAATCGTCTTATAATTTAGAATGGATGGAGTGTGTAGAGTGCGAGTTTATTGTAGTAGAGGAAAGAATAATGGGATGCTAATTACATTGCACGGCGTCCTAGAGTAGTTTAGTGGCGTGCCATATGGCAGCCCGCAGAGGATACACACGTCGCCGCCGCATCGGATTCGAAGGAGACGTACGGACGGTGCTCTCGGCCTGCCCATTCGGTGCCGATTATTTAGCATCAATTCTGGAAACTTGTGTTAATAAAGAAAAAGACGAGGGATAACGATAACGATAGGCACAGGCTTTTGGACCAAATTACAACTAAATATGGTAAACATTAGTATTAGCACAATACACCCTCCTATACGCAACATGTTACCCTCTCAGCAGCAAGACAGTGCCTTAATGGATGATTGTGTACAAAACTCTTTTTTTGCGAGAAAAAAGAGAAACTTTATTAGCTAGTCACAGGAGGATTACAATCGGCATTAAGAAAAGTCCAACCACAGGCAGGCACTTGTCTACCCTGGCCGCAGGATGATTACAACGTCTAGCTATAATAATGCTAAACCATTTGCAACTTGATTGCAGTCTTCACTTGGGAACACTTCCAATCACTCATCAGCTGAGTCAAGCATCTTGCTTCCTCTATGACTAGGCCAATCTCTGATCTATCCACCGATTGACTTCTCAGGGAACTAATATTCTTGCGCGGTTATAGACCTTCGCGCATGCGAAGGCCTCTGCCTATGTACAAAACTCATGTAGGTTGCAATAAAAGTTTTTTTATATAAAAATAATACAGTTCTAATCTAGCTGTAAAATAGATTTTCCTTTGCACTCCTTGACAATTAAAATAGATTTTCCTTTCGGCAAGCCTTGACACGCCATAGTTGAATTGCCGCTAACCTTGGATTTCTATATACAATAGGCATTCAAACAAATTGTGGCTCGTAAATTTTTGGATCTTGCTGTTATTATATTCCCTCTATTTCTTTTCTACTCGTTGAGTATGAGCATGGTCTCATTAATTAGTGTAACTACAATCAATTGGAAGGTTTTTCATGGAAAAAACTACTAATATCATTTTCATGGGATAAACCTTAAAAATTGTATGATATGTTGATTAAATTTCTAGAATCAGACTATTCGCATCTGCACTTAATAATATTTGAGAAACAAATAAAGAAAACAACCATTGATCGAGCATTCCTTTGTGTGCTGACAAAGACGAAATATTTTGCATTGAAGATTACTATAGGCCCTTTTTGGTTCTCAAGAATTGAAAACTAACCTAATAATGAAATGGGAAGCACTTTCTAGATATTGGTTTCAATTCATGGGATCCAAAAACAGGCCTTTATTTTTTTGGGTAGACTAATTTGATCCATTCCCATCTGAAAATTAATTTAGTATTTAAACCCACAATAGCTACTGTATATATGATCATCCCAATACAGCCTCTTGAGCTTACCAAAACTTAATTTGGCACTAGCAACTATATGTCTCATCATAGGGAAAAAAAACATAACAAAATGGCTTATTTAATCGCAGTACATTCACGTGCCAATCGTGCAAAATGCTCCTACAGTCCTACACCAAACTACTACGCATACTCACAGCTTGCATATACACAGTTGCACTGTTCCATGATAAAATATTCTCCCCAACCAAAAAAATACATGCTGGCATTATTTTATATATATATATATATATATATATATATATATATATATATATATATATACACACACACACACACACACATAGAATGCTCCCAATCCAAGAACCGAGACGAGCAACATTCGGGTGGTTCGCCCGATCAACTTTTGGAGATGGAATTCAGGGAGCTAGCTAGCTAGGCTCGTGGTGCAGCCGAACTCGAGCTCGACGACGGCCATGGACAGCACCGCATTCTTGCCTGAAATACCCCAAGCAGCAGGAACATTGGAGATTTGGAGACGAAAGACTCCCGCTGCCTGCCTGCACGCCAGCTTCCCTTCCTTCCCGCCGTTTCGGCGTTTTCAAATCGCAAGCAACTTCTCCCAGCCAAGTGTTTCCCAGTTCCCGCCAGCTTTATATATAGCACGTACCACAAGCTGATCAGTCAGCAAGCTCGATCAGAGGCTACGTGTGCAGCGCAGCTGGTTCCGTCTAGACGTACACTCTGTCACTCACACACATGGCTGCGGCGGCGTCTATCTCTGGATCCCGCACCAGCTACCCTAGCGTCCCAATGGCCCACAGCGGCCGGCGGCGCACCAGCGGCTGCACCGTCATCAGGAGCTCCTTCGCGCCCTGCTCGCCGGCGTGCAAGCCCACGACGCTGCGGATCGGCAGCAAGTGGGCGGAGCTCCAGGGCGCGCGGGACTGGGACGGCCTGCTGAGCCCGCTGGACGGCGCGCTCCGGGGCGAGCTGGTCCGGGACGGGGAGTTCGTGCGCGCGGCGTACGCCAGCTTCGACTTCGACGGCGGCGCGCCGTCCTACGGCTCGTGCCGGTTCCCGAGCCGCTCCCTGCTGCGCCGCGCGGGGATGCCGGGGACCGGGTACCGGGTCACGCGCCTCCTCCACGCCGCGTCCACATCGGCGCCCCGGTGGCTGCCGTCGCTGTCGCCGCCGTGCGGATCTAGCTACATCGGCTTCGTCGCGGTGTGCGACGACGAGCGCGAGATCGAGCGGCTCGGCCGCCGCGACGTCGTCGTCGCGTTCCGCGGCACCGCCACGTGCGGCGAGTGGGTGGACAACTTCAAGTCCGGCCTGACAAGGCTCCCGATCCCGACCGGCGAAGAGAATGGAGAGGAGGAGGCGATGGTGGAGAGCGGGTTCTGGAGGCTCTTCACGGCGCCAGGCGAGGCGCACAGCAGCCTGCAGCAGCAGATGCGCGACGAGGCGCGGCGGATCGCCCACGAGTACGGCGGCAGCGGCATGCCGCTGCTGAGCATCACGGTGACGGGGCACAGCCTCGGCGCCGCGCTCGCGGTGCTCACCGCCCACGAGATCGCGACGACGCAGCAGCAGCGACAGGAAGAGGAACACAGCGGCGCCGAAGAGCCGGCGATGATGGTGACGGCCGTGTCGTTCGGCGGGCCGCGCGTGGGCAACGCGGCGTTCCGGCGCAGGCTGGAGGAGAGCGGCGGCAAGGTGCTCCGCGTGGTGAACTCGGACGACATCGTGACCAAGGTGCCGTGGTTCCCGGTGCACGAGAACGACGACGGCAACCAGCCGGCGAAGGGGATGATGAAGGCGAGGGTGCCGAGGTGGGCGTACGCCGACGTGGGGCGCGAGCTGCGGCTGAGCCAGGCCGCCGGCTCGGCGTCCAACGTGGTGGCCTCGCATGACCTCGACTTGTACCTCAAGCTCGTCGCTTCTTGCACAGACTTAGATAGGAAAATGACCTACGTAGACAAGTAGCGCTGCACTGTACTAGTCTGACAGTACTGTTAGAGAATGTGCTAATAATCTAGTGTGATTAGTTTGTGGACACAATGTTTGCTTGCTGTTATGTGAGGTGGTTGTTCAAGAGCAAAGCGATTAGAAGACACGTGTCACTCTGCTGCATGGGCATGGCCTACAAAACTGACCAGGGTCCAAAGCTGGCCTACCATCTTGTATGTTCATGCACAAATCACTTACGTTTCCTGCTCCGCAGATTGACGGCGGCCGGATAAAATAGTCGTGGCTCGCCGACTCGTGGCCTGTCCAGCTCGGTCTGACACAAGCTCGTTTTAACTTTTTTACGAGTTGAACTGGAAGTGTAGCTCGCTATTTTAACGAGCTAGCTCTAGCCAGCTCGTGCTCGTGAGCTAAGGCCTATCAGCCCAGGACCATGAATTCAGAAGATGATGATGTTGATCTAGAAGTGTACATCTATTCCACTGGTATGTAATCCTTATTTTTAGCTGTTTCATATGAATTTTAATTTTATAATTGTTGTGGTACTTAAATGCTGATTTTATGAATTATTTTTCAGGGAGAAGATGATAATGCTGACATTGAATCTGTGGGCTTTCCTAAGTTTGTGATGGCAAGCCACTAGTTAGTATGCTGAAACTGCATGATCATGGATGGATCAGCTATGTTGCATGATTGATACTTTTGATGAAGCTGATATGTATTAATCATGTATGGTTGCATAATGATGGACGTCACATTCTAGAATTAATATAGCATAAACATTATAAGCATGTGTGTCCTATTTTTTTAGTAGCTCGTGAGCTAAACGAGCCAGCTTGAGCTCGGTAACGAGCCGAGCCGAGCTGACTTGTTAGACTAACGAGCTAGCTCGAGCTGGACCGAGCCGAGCCGAGCTGGCTCGATATCCAGCCCTATTGACGGCTTCGTCTATCTCCGTTCATTTGGCTGGACCCTGACCGTACAGTATAAAACACTTGCAACATGAAAAATATTTGAATATAATATATGTCTTAAAGTAGATAAAATATTTAGAACACGCACTTGCAATATGTGTGTGAAACACATGAAACATCCAGATTTACAACTTGCAACATAAAACCACTCATTTGAAATATACTGTTACAACATATGTGTGAAAACATATGCAACATCTAGATAAAAAAAGATTGCAACAAACGTCTGAAAACAGATGAAATATTTTGAACAAATACTTGCAACGTGCCTCTGAAACACTTGCAACATGTGCAACATCCCCCGATCTACTTTTGCAATATCAAGATGAAATAGTTGCAATATATATCTAAAACATCTGAAACACTTGAAATATACATATGCAACATAGGGGAGGGAAGACCGGGCCAGTCGATTCCGGCCGTCGAGGTGGGGGGCGGTGACGAGCTGGGGTGCGCGAGCACCACCAGTACCGGCAACGCTCGTGGGTGCCCTTGCTCGGCCGGGGAAGACTTAAGGCGCCACGGCACATGTGCCCCAGCGGCCACGGCGGGGTCTGTGGTGCGGCCAACGGCGATGGGCGACAGACGAACGGCGATGGAGCAAGCGACGGAAGTGACTGCCACGCAGGTGAGCGGCAAAGGGAGCAAGGGCGCACGGCGCTACCAGCAATGGGGAAAGGGCACGGCGTAGCAGCCCGACGAGCGTGCGCTGGGGAAGGCGGCAGACGGATGAGCAGTCATGCCGAGTGACGCGGGTGAGCGGCGCAGGGAGCGAGGGCGTGCGGCGGAGCCAGCGATGGGGAATGGAAATGGCGCGGCAGTCCGACGAGCACACGCTGGAGAAGGGGGCGGACGGATGAGCAGCCACGCTGCTGTGAGGCAGAGCGGATAAGCATGAAGTAGTGGGGTGTGGGCTCAGGAGGGATAGGCGGATAAACACCAGGGAATGGTGATTTGTTTTTTTGTTTGGGGCCCACTCCTGAGGAGCTGTGTCCGGACGCAAAGTCACAGACGGACGCTCTGCAGGAAATATTTCCGTATTCATAAGCGGCATTTGTATATCTTTTTCACGATTAGGACAATTCTCTTGTCTTAATCTCCTTTGAATTTTATTCCTATGTTTTTTTAACCTATCGCTTTGAATTTGTTCTATCTTTTTATTTCATAGTTTAAAGGAAGAAGGAAGGAAAGATTGCGTGCAAACTTTTCTTAAGTCAACTTTAAACTCTGAAATGTATAAGGTGCAACAGAAGTGGTGGCAATTAACAGAGTTGTTTTGACTTCTGGTAATTAACTGAAAGCCCTGAAACCCAATGGTCGAGAAACCTCTGCTGTTCAACCCTCGGCGCATTACGGATTTCTTCAGCACATTTACTACAAAAATCCATGATCATGTTCCTCTGCAAAGCGTCGCCAATCTCCCATGCCGACCTGCCACAGTCAGTGCCATTATGTATGATCGCATCACATACCCAATAGTTGGACGCATGGGACTCCCAACTGATGTTGACATTGTGTCTCAGTGCCATATACAAGATGCATTGAATGACAATCTTTGGGCTCATGTCAGGTTCAGGGACACCTGTGCAGTTAGCAACCTCCTCGGCCTCTGCATATAGAGCGTGCCTAAGGATTTGAAGTCTTGCAAATGTATCTTCCTCAAAAATTAGTGATGACATAACAGATATAGTTGCATCGCTCCATTTAGCTGACTCCACATCATGCAACCACCAAGACGTTCCATGCCCATCTTTGGCATGATGCCCGAACCTGCCTCGAGATGTAGACAACACCCTCCTGCTCAATTGCCCTATTACAGGGACACCGGCCTCCCACGGATCGATGTAGCTGCCACTCCCATTGTGCAAAACCACAAGGAATCTGCGAGCCATAAGTTCATTCATGATCGCTGCTTTGACGTAAGGAATCACAGCTCTATCTCTCTGCTCCACCCCATCAAAATCATCCTCCTCATCATGCTGGTGAAAGAGTGCCATCACCTGCGGGGGTAGCTCAAGCTCCTCTGCAATCACCTTCTGTAGGGCTCTCTTGCTTTGCCACTGTGAGACATCAACGTGGATGATCTTTCCCAAGTCCCTTGCTGTCCCAGTGTCAGCCAATCCAGATGATGATCTTAGTTGTTTGACGACTGCTTTGAGTACAGCAGATGCTCCCCACCCCGACCAGCCATGAAAGTATATCACTTCTCTTTGATTGTCGGCACCCTCCAAAAGATGAAGTATCTGCTCTGCTGCGCCATCTATGGTATCCGCTATGAATCTGATCCTCTGCAATAATTACTACTAGTTAATTTCACAAAGGCTGGCATATACTGTTCTGTATGTTATTACTTTTTAAAAAAAGTAATAGCAGGAGTTCTGCCTTTCAATTAAGAAGAATAGAATTGGCCTAGTTTATAAGGGAAACCAGGCCTGAAAACCTTACATAGGTACAGATTAAAACACAGAAAATATCTATATGTTATTACTAAGGGGCCGGATCTTGAATCAAGAGTGTAGAAAAATTATGTCTCATAATTGGAGATAGATAGCACTCGCAAAAAAAAATGAGATGGATAGTGGACTATGCGTCTTTATTTTGCAGTGCAGCAGAAAGCAAAACCATTTCCAGACTTCATGGTGCACTTAAATCCTTTTCAGAAACAATATATAAATATAACTGTTGATATTTGTCACATGAGAAACTAAAACCAATAAATTTATTTTTGGTCAAAATTGAACATGTCCTATACAAAAGCTAATTGCTCAAAAAACACTGGAATTAATCTGGGCAAATTAAATCACACCAGTACGTGGAGAAGTAGTCACTAATTGATTTACCTCTTTTGGCATGATGAATTGGTCAGTCGCCTGCCTCTTGAGCTAACTAGCTCTACAAGCTAGGCCAGGAGCTCCATCTGAATCTGCAGCTCTAGATTTTGACGTCAGAACGAAAAGTATGCATAGCAGCACTCCAGGTTTCCTCATCCAGACTTCACTCCAGTAAATCGATATCTCCTGCACATACAGTGTATGCAAGCAAATACGTATGCATTATATAGATGCAATAATGTACATGTATGTTATGGATCATTCATGTTTCAGCTTTGACCCGTGCTGATAGATCGAAGTAGCAAATTTAATCAACAAAGCTCTGCGTCATACTAGCAGTACTGATACAAAGTAAGCAGTCCTGGATATATAGATGAACTTGCATTTGAGGAGCAGACAGAAATGAGTAGTAAACTAACTTTGATCCCTCAAGTTACTCCTGGATATGCAAAGTACTAGTTCAAGCGGGACAACATGCATTCCTTTATAATCCTGATCTCCCTCGCGTTCAAAGCTTAGTAAAAACACGTAATAACTATAATTAACCATGGATGTATACATGAACTTGCATTGGAGAAGAAGACAGAATTTATTAGTAAATCACCTGGATCACAACAAGAAAACAGGCTCTGGGACGGAGCATATGTGCCGCCTATCTGGAATTAGTTATGCCATGCTTACAAATGGGTGGGCGTGTATAGTATAGAAGCGACACTAGAATGAGTGCCGGTGGAGCGTTTGCATGACACGGAGTATTCGTTCCTTGCTTCCTGTTTGCTTTATTTGCAAAGCACAATCATATCACTCTCGTCAGATTCTTTGCTTGCAGCATTACTTGTTATATGCTTTGCTTGCGGAGCTTAATAACAAACGCAAAGAGAAAAGTTAAGGTAAAAGGCTGTTGAAGTAGTTTTGTCTGTCAGTCCGGAGGGCCAGGGATCAGGTGCAAGAGCATCTGCATTAAAAAGGGCGTACCCACTACAGAGAGCTCTCGCACTGTGTGGGGTCTGAGGAATGATGTTAGTGGCAAGCCTTACCCTCGCCTATGCAATATGAGGAGACCACGACTCAAACCCGGGACCTTCCGGTCACAGGTGGTAAGACTCTACCACTTACACCAGGTCCGCCCTTTGTAAGAGGATTTTTTTTATTAGTACCAAAAAATAATCCTAGAAATCTAGTTTTGTAATATTGAAAAGGAAAAAAATAACTTGTCCCAACAGTTTTCAATAATTTATTACTCCCAAAAAATATAACTTGTCCAGAATCAAGTTATAGAATCAACAAAAACCAGCAGGGGAGGGGGGGTTTCCAAAGCAGATGACAATTGCGAGCATTCCATCAACACCACCTATTCACAGCTCTCACCAGATTACAAGTGTCTGCAATACAACACCTTCGGGCAGTGCACAACTGATTCATTGCAAAAAGGGCTTTGCACTTTTCTAATCAAGAAAAAGGTTACATATAGACATATTTCTTCCATTGTTTCAGCTCAAGAGCTCAACATATTTCAAACCGGCACCTTGAACACAGCTGCCAGCTAAACATGGTGCTGTAACTAGTACATTATAAATTACACTTACACCAGTGCTAGGAGAAACAAAAAATGATCGACAACCGTCAGCCACGTTGTTTCTTTGCACTAGGTAAATCATCATCGTAATGACCGCCGTCATCGGCCCCATCTTTCTCACCCTTCTTTCGAGCCAGGATCCTGTTTATCTTGTGGAGGTCATTGGTGAGCTTCTGGTCCTTGTTCTGCTTCCTTGTCTTCCTGCCGTCCTGCATCTTCACCCCAAACTGGAACGCAGCCTTTGGCATGGCTTCTTTCTGATCGTTGTACTTCGCCCACTCCTCTTCCGTCTCAAAATCCCACCTGTGAAGACGGCCCTTAGCCTGCTCAAGAATCATATATCAGAATACAATACAGAGATGGTCTCAAAAATTACATACTGTTCCACAACAGATGTGATCATAGAATTGAGTAAACCGTTTTAAATTAAACCAAAAGCCATAACTGCAATAGAAGCAACAGCTACTACTCACTCCATTTCAAATTGTAAGTTGTTTTAGTCCTAATCCAAACTTGTTAGTTCGTAGGAAAACATATTCACATCTACAATATTAAATAAATGCACTATCAAAATATATCATGGTGTATCCAATGAACCTTGTTTATGTCAGATGTTTGTGCGTTTTTCTATAAGGTTAGTCAAATCTAGAGAAGTTTGAGTTACAACAAAAGCTAAAACGACCTACTGAGGGAGTACATCAGAAGTAAACATCAGAACATGTGCAGGCCAAATAACAAGAGAAATATCAGGACAACAGTTTTGGGACTATGCTCAATACCGGGCAGAACAGTAAATTTAAAGTATGGTCTCACAAGGGCAGTTAGAACACTTCACTACTATTTTCCAATATTCAAATCCATAATGAAGAAAAAGATGCAGAAACAACTTATGAGTGCAAATCAACACAAAAGCCACATCAACATAGAAAACGTTAACCATGGCTATCTACTGCAATTTCACAGGAACCATATCACAAGCATAACTTGTATCAGCAAGGGAGCTTTTGTGCATATGATCCAAATCATTTCACTTACCCGTCCACCCATATCCATCTTTGATAAATCATCTTCATCATCGCTCCCTGCAATCTCATTATTATACTCCTGGTAGCCAGGATAACACTCTGAGTAACTATCCGAAATAAAATTTGGATCTCTCTCTCGTGCATCTTTTTCTCTCAGCTGATTCAACCTTTGATCATCACGTTTGAAAACAGAACCTAGACCCCGATCCTTGTCTGCTTGAGTCATGAACCTTGGATCCTGGGATATACTAGGGTCAGCTAGTACATCATATTCCTCAGTGCTTTGTTGCACATACTGTTCTTGATAACCCAACGGCTGTTCTTCATACACATAGCCTGACCAATCGCCTTGATATCCAGCAGCTGCCATCTGGGCTTGAACAGCATCATACCCATTCTGGCACCAGATGAGACATTAGGTATTAGACCAAGTTCAATAAAATGTACAGAAAACTAAAAATAGGTAGCAGGTGTCTGAATATGGAGAAATAAGAAATATATTGCCAGGGTCTAACATTCGAAGTGCATGGTTCAAATTACAGGTATCCATCAGAACAAGTCACTGAACATTTATTGGCTTACCGGCTGTTGCCAAGCTTGAGCAGATTCAGATGGTGGTACTGGGCCATACATGGGTTCAGCGAAATAGGACTGCTTCTGATGGTTATGTGGTGATTCCTCCATATCCTCAGAAACAGGGCTTTGGCTCGTTTCCTTGTTAGGAACTGAATAGTCAACTCCATCTCCGACAAAAATGTCATCATCGTCTGCTCTAGCAATAGGTACCGATTGCTTCTCCTTTCCATTGAAATTATTGCTCCGAGGGGGCGGAGCTGGTGGTGGTGGCATATCTGGTTGATGTTTCAAAGCAGAACCATTAGTTTGGGTAGGTTTTACTGCCTCGTCATAGTCACCGCTTGCTAAATTGTTCTTCCCTGCATAGCAAACATAATGTATTAACAAGATATCCAATCCATCAAGCACCAAGACAATTCATAAAAGAAGACTACAAGTACAATTGAAACAAGACTCATGCACCCTGGCAAAAGTAGCAACTTTACTATTTAACTAAAATATAAAAATACACAGTTCTTACAAAATCACTTTAGCATATTGTTTCATGTCTTTATCATGCAAGTTTTCCTGTTCTCTGTTTCTAACTCAACAGGATCTACTAGTTTAACATTTATCCTCATGAAAACACACCTTTTGTATCTCTTTCCTTTTTCTTTTTCTTTAAGACCTTCCCTGAAGATCCAAGTCGAAGGTATGTCATAATTTTAGCAATCCTGTCAAGTACAGAACCATCCACGCTGACAGTTACCATCTCCTGCAGAAGTAAGAAGGTTATTAAGAAAACTCACAAGACACTCCAACAAGTTATACGCCATATTGTCTAATACCTCTGGTACAGGGCAATCAGCTTTGCTCCTATGAAGAGTTGTTGGAATATCATTGGTTAGTCCCTCCTGGTTGGATTTAAAGAAGATTTATTGTTAAGCTTGCTAATGGAAAGTTCAAAGCGGAAAGAAAAAACAGAGACAGATGAAATGATACAACATAAGTTGGAATGCAAAAGAAAATAACTATTAACTTGAGAATATTGGCTAGTTCATGAGAAAAGGCTATGCTGGAACCTCTACATCTGTGTTTCTGAGAACAATCCGTGGAAAGTTTGTATCTAACAAATTTAAACATTACATCCCAACTGTGAGCCACTTATAGTTTCTGACATGTGATTCATGGTTGCCCTAATAGAACATGAACATAGAGAGAGTACTGTACAAGTGTTAGTTGCAACTATGAGGCCATCATGCACTGCAACAGCAATCAAATTTGCATGAAGTATAAATCATACCATCAGAGATATAAAATAAATCAACATTGTACTTGAATACTATGAAGCATAATAAAATCAGATGGCTACTCAGTTCCTGGATAAGAACTTCAGAAAACTGATTAAAATTCTGCGCTTCAGGTGATGAGCAGACAAACAGACAAATAATATTCTCTTATTGTAGAATGAAACAAAATCATGCATATTGTATAATCGAAAAGGCAACAAATAATCATAAACATAAGCATTTTAAAACTATCTCCAACAGAGCCGACCCAAACACGAGACCTATTTCACCGTTTGGGTCACGCACAACAAAAGAAAAACGCACCCAAAACTGGCGAACTCCAACAAAGGGAATACCCAGTGTAGAGAGCTCCCGCTCTATGCGGGGTCTGGGGAAGGGTGTTAGTGGCAAGCCTTACCCTCGCCTGTGCAATGCGAGGAGACCGCAACTCGACTCTGTTGGAGGGTGTTTTTTCCCTGTGAACGATGCATTTTGGGTATGGGTAGCGTGATGCATAGCCTGTTGGAGACAGTCTAACTTCTCAGAATAAGAAAGGTAAACTATATCTTAAAAAGCTAAAAACAATATAGCAACATAATCAAATTCTCAGAATGTTCTGGATATTTATACATACATAGCATATGTTTGTCATTACAAATAAACACTAATGAGTTATGAAAATAAAATAATGTATGCATCTGGTTCTGGTCATTTCTGTGGAGGGAAACAGGGAAGACTTAATGCCTATAGTTTGCAATTTGCAATGCATGATTATTCTAAACTATATCATAAACAACTCCATAATGCACTGAAGCACACAAATTAACATGAGCATCTTTTTAAGGAATTACCATATTGTAAATAAATGACATCCGACCAGGAAGAAACAACTCATTCTCTTTTATTATGCTTTGAGGCTTTATGATCCATTGGTAGACAGACTGCACCCAACGAAGAATGGCAATTATTAGCCATGTTAACCCTTACCATATGAGGAAAAACATACTGATAAGCTAGAAAATAAATATACCTTTGCAGTTGCAGTGCGGAAAGAGACTGCCTGATCTTCTTTTGTTGCCCTACAAAAAAATGCAAGATAAAATGTTATGCTCCCGCACTAAGTGCATCCAGTGTAATGACATGAGGCTGCTAACAAGTATTGTTAGTTGTTACATCTCAAATCTAGATATGAGTATTGTATTTATAATTTCATTGTACAATAGGTAAGGCTAATCATGTGAAGAAAAGATATTCAGTTCAGATAATGTTTACATACACTCTAAATGAAATGCACCATTATAAAAAAGACCTTACACAATCTCAGTTATCACACCAACAACTCAGATGCGCACAGGAAGATAAGCTGGTAAAGTTTTGTAGCATCATGAGATACAAATGCAAAATATTATAGGAGACACAATCCTTTTTCTTAATTTATCTATAGGAACAGAAAAATTATCAACACACAAGGCTCTTCTATAATTCAAAAAGAAGAAACCGGATCGCTCATAAATCAAGTCAAACTTTAAATCATCATGGAACAGTTTTTTTGTACCATCTTACTTTCTGTACAAGTGAATATTATGCATAGGACAATCACTATTAGGGCATATCACAGCATTCGAAATGCAAACTGCATATAATAACTTTTTAAAAAAAAACCCTAGTCTCTGTTATTCGTATAGGGAAAACTATGAGAAATTGAGAACTGATATAAGGCTAAAACTATACTATGGTGGCAAGTACCTTGATTTAGAATCTTTCCCATCCTCTGCATCGGGTTTCTTTTCACTTTCACTCCGCACTTTGTGAAGTAGAGCATAGTCCAAGCCCTTGACCAGATGTGTATGCTCCAAATCACCTTAAAGCATAAATTGGAAATGGAATGTCAGTCAAAGAGCAGTTCATAAGATAAAAAATGGAAAAGTGGAATCTGAGTCGCCAGATTACACCATACAATGTCACATCTCTGACTTTCTTTTCTATTACAAGAATTACATGACTGGCTGATTAGGTTATATTTAAAACTAATTGTTTACATTTCATTCAAGAAAATGGTATCCTGAAACTGAGGACATAGGACATTTACCAAACATAGAATATTATGTTAAACAATTCTCATTTTTGAATAAGTCATGATTCAGATAGCTCAAACACGTATGCCCGCTTCTTCATACATACAAAAAACCATGAAACATGGAGGTAATAAATAGACATGCCAAAAGGACTATTCCCCATAAAAAGGGAAATTATTCCCTTCAAGAAGTATAGCATTAGCATCACATAACCAACCTCCAAGATATTTGCTTTTCTCAATTGAAATCTTGTGTGCATCTGCCAACCTGCAACAAAGGAATTTGCAAAATTAGAATTCCAGAAATCATATGATAAACTATAAAAACACATAGAAGTGTCTGAACCGTGTGATCTGTTACCTCAAATCTGTTCCAGGAGGTGCCACAGCATGAAATGAACCAAGCTCTGTGGGTTCATAGTCTGGATTTTGATCTTCACGGCGCTCCTTAGCACGATCACGATACCTGGGTGTCTCTGGTTCTACCTTTTTCTCCTCTCTGAAAGGGAAAACCAGAGACAATTAGGCTTGCCAAATCACTTGTTAATGTGAGTCTTTATGTTGGAAGTATTTGTAGTTTGCATCTAACTTGTCATTGCTACCTACTACTTTCACATCATTGCCATTCTATAACATTTCCCAAAAAGCTGCAAAAATTTATGGATTCTGCCCAAGACCAAAATCTCTGAGCATGGCAGCGCTGCATATTTTCAGAACTACCTTGGCTGAGCACTTTAGCCATTTAATAAATGTGGTTCTCCTGCAGTTTGCGACACATACAAAATAGGATTTCCGTAAAAAATGGATAGTGGCATAGTGCTTTACAGACACACACATAAGGACAGCAATCTGTGCTATTTCAGAAGCTTAAAGGAATCAAAGAATCACCACCAAATGATGGAGGTAAATCCATGTAGCATAGCAGGCCAACTGGTAGGTGATTATAAAGGTTAGGATGAGAGGAAAAAAGAAATCAGAAGTGATTGCTCACTTTAGTATCAGACATTCATGTAATCATGTTATAATAATAGTAACGAACTGAGGATACCATCAGAGTTGTGGTTTTATATACTAAATAAATTCCGTGCATAAATATGTATCAGAAATATGTAACATGAACAAGTTCTACCCTTCCAATTCCGATTCCAAAGATTGGCTCCATGTACGGGAAAAAACAGCTACAACTACAAGTGAGGGTATTATAGGACAAGATCTAACTAGGTTCCTTCTTCCAGCTTTTATTGTATTCTCCAATCCCCAATAACATGTACCAAGAAATGCACGGAACAAATGGGGAAAAAAACAAAGATTGTGAGGTGCTCACTTCCGCCGCATCATCTTCTCCTTGTAGTAGTTCTTCTTGGACGACATTTTCTCTCTCTTTTCTGTACCCCTAGAAGCCCTATAAGCATTTGGGGGGAATTAAAATCTCGATGACAAAATTACAGTCCCGCTCACTCGGGAGGGTTCTTACTCGGCGACTTGATCCTAAAGATACCTTCTCAGAGTATCGCGACCGCAGTTGACGATGGGAAAGTGGCAGACAACGGCGCTTGACAGACGGGGCCAGGCGGCGGCGGCGGACGGCGCCGCGGCGGGGAGCGCACAGGCGGAGGAAGGGCGGGCCGCAGAGAAACGCGCGAAGTGGAAGGAGACGGCGGCACGGCACGGCTCGGAGCTCGGAGACGGGAGGAGGCTGGACGAGCCGGCGGGAGACGGCGGCGCGGCGGTGCCGAGTGGCTTTGCCGATGCGGTCCTCGACTTGGCTGGTTTTTGCGGCCGCAACGGAACGGAACGGAGGTCGGGACGGGATCAGGATTGCTCTGCGTGCTGAGGCACCCGAGACCTCTAGTCCGCTGGATCGATATCGGACGGCCCAAACCAAAACAAGCGAGAAAACGGAAGATCACGAGTTGTCAACGAGGATAGATTGTACCCCCGTACCAAAAAAAGGGTGCATTTCTAGATAACTATTTCAAGTTTAATTAAATTTGTAAAAATAAATTAACAATTACGATTCTAAGTAGGTATACAACGAAAATATATTTCATGATAAATTTAGTAATATTTATTTGATATTACAAATATCTGTGCAATTTGTATAAAAAAATAGTCAAACTGAATAGTATTTTACTTAGCACCGTAGCTAGAAATGCAATTTTTTTTGACAGATGGAGTACATGTATACTTGGTCGGTAGAAGCCTCTCCGTTCAAAAAAAAAAGGTTCGAACTAAATCAAACTTTCTAGGTTTATAGAAAATAGTATTAACATTTGTATTTTAAATATGTTTATTATAAAAGTATATTATAAGGTTAATGATATTTATTACATATCATAAACATTACAATATTTTTTCACGTGGGAGTATGTTCAATCAAACTTGAGATCGATTGATTTATAGAAAAATGAGATTAACAAGTTTTTTTGGGATAGATGGAGTGCTTAGTATTTATGGGCTCCGGAAAAGAACCAAATATTTTTCTCGTTTAGTACAAGACAAGATAACCGATGTTGAAAATGATGCTCCCTCAAAGGTTGTTTTTTCCTTGCCTTTAATGTAAAAACTAACAACCTGTTCATTTCGGCTTATTTGCTCATATAGTCGTATCTGACTTATAATCTACGGCATCAACAGTATTTTTCTCTCACACCAAACTAGCCAGCGGTACTTTCAGCCATGGATTATAAGCCGAGTCAGCCGAAACGAACAGGCTAAGACTGTCATATCCAGAAAAAATGTAAAACTAACACAAGAAGAAGCACATTCATTCAGGCTGGCAGGCAAGCAGAGTTAAGCATGCACATCAGCAGTTGAGCACATGGCCATGACCGCATTAGCAACTACCAGAAATCTACCATCAGTGGAGTTGCTTATTAAAACATGTTTCATTTCACATTCTTCAGGTTGAATGCACACGCTGTTTAGCAGATGGTCTCTGCCTAGCTTTTGGGAAGCCAAGAACACAGTGAGTTCACTGTCAAAAGGCTTCGCTAAGCAAGCCAATTTAGCTAGATTTCATTTGCAACCGCTAGCACAAGCAGTCAACATGGATCATCAGAGCAAAAGGATGTAGCTTCTCTCGGGAAGGTTAGAAGCATCAAAGACCCTGCAGACAGTCTGCTCGCCCTTGCCTTTACTCGGCATCAATCTGATGGTGTCAGGCGCGGTGGCAGCATGCGCAACAGGTGGCCAGAGTGACCACCTGCTGGTTTCTTGGCATCGGTTATGAATATACCACCACTTGGATCAGCAATCACTGGAACACAAAACGAGACATCTTATAATTTGAAATTCATCAATCAATAAACTCTTGGAATAGATACAGAGCTAAATAGAAAAGCTCACCTTGGAACTCTTTAGTGATCTTGATAAGGTTGTACAGCATCTGTGCTAACTTTTGCTACAATTTCATAGCAGATACCCATAAGCAAGCATATAAATGGTACTTTCAACTTGCTTACGAGTTGTGACTGTACCTGATGCTCAGTTCACCCCTGCCACTGAAATCAACACGGAATAGTGTGATTAGCCTTTCACAGAATCCACAATCTGTCACCACTGAGTGGAGACATATGGAATATGAGCCAATTGGGTCTTCTCTGACCTGCAAGACAAGCAGATGAAGTCAAATTAAAAAGCTAGAACTGAGCTCATCAGAAATATGAAGAGCTACAAAAGTGCAGCAAGGGTCAATGTTATCACTGTGGCTGTTCTAAAAATTCAATAATCTCTCTATTTCAAACTATAGGTGATTTTATCTTTATTCTAAATGAAATTTCCCTAACCTTGACCGAGGTTATAGGAAAAATGCACCATCTGCAACATCAAATTGGTTTCATTAAATGCTCTATAAAGTGTCTTAATACTACATTTATTTGAACTTATCTGTTAATATATTTTCTAAAAACTTGGTCAAAGTAATTTGAAATGGGTGACTAGTTAAGAGGTTTCTTTACTTTGCTGGTAGACAGGTACAGCACGTGTTTGCGAGATCGTTGTGATTTATACAGTATATACACAATGGTAAATTGCTCCCAGCAATAGAATACTAGAAATCATTGTTTAACCTTAAAGGTCAACATCTAGGACAGGCTGCCAGCTTTTGCCCAGAATGACTTCTTCCTCTTATTTTCAAACGTGAGGACGTTCTAATCTTCTGTTGTTTTCTTCCACTATCTTCGGAAAAGCCATTGTTCAGAAACCCACATGCTTGTATTATAGAACTCAAGTAAAGATGGAGACTTCTTTCATGACATTGGACCATTGGTTTAAACGTATAGTGATCAGTTTCCACTTCTAAAACTTCTTTTGGATGAGAACACCCTAAATATCCATGAACTTCAATGCCACAAACCCAGCCTTATCTTGCCAACAAAAGAAGTTATAGTACTTATAAAACTGCTATATCACTAGCGAGGGAACACAAGCACAGCTACAGTCAAGATCAAGAACAGGGGAGACAAACAAAGAATCAGGTATGAAGAAGATGGCAGAGCTCATGGTGCTGACCTAACGTGGGTATAGAAGAGGAGACCTTTTTCTCCCTCAGCTGTTCCTGAAATGAGTCAACAGCACAGAGAAATGGCTCAAATTTATCAGCATGGACAGAGAACTGAGAAGTAACTGACTTCAGTGTGAAACAAACCGAACCTACAGAAACAGAACAGGTTATGGTGAAAATACTCATTTTTGGGTAGGGTGTGTAAGGGCCATCGAGATCGTGAATCTCAACTAAGATTATACTGTTCCAATCAGCAACAAGTGCAATCCGATGATTCAGTAGCCCAAAACACATCCATTGATTCCAATACGATTGCAAAATTAGCTGTTTTAATAAATAGCATGAAAATCACCGGTAGCAAGGTGTGATGATAACATCAGGAATTCAGGATGATGATTAACATACTCCATAGTAGTAATCAGCGGACACTCAGTATAGGAGGATGACGCACGGACACGATACAACTCCAACTTAGATAAGAGTAGCTGGATGTTGCACAGACACAGGCTACTTGCAAAATTATTGCTTGTCGTCGTTGTTGTCGACGATTGGCCACGTCGAGGAACATGCCATGCTCGACGACGCCGTTGATCCAGAACAGGCGATTGCTGCTCCGAAGAACAGGCTGCTACTTGTAAATTACTACTTCCTCCTGCCCATGACTGCGACGGTGCCGTCCTTGTTGGCGACGATGACGGTGGTGGCCATGCCCAGGAACATGCCGTGCTCGACGACGCCGGTGATCCGGAGCAGGCGGTCGCTGATGTCGCGCAGGTCGCCGCGGATGCCGTCCTCGAAGAACATCTCGACGATGTAGTTGCCGTTGTCGGTGACGAAGGGTTGCTCCAAATCTTCCCCCTTGGCGGCGGGGACGGTCCTGAGCCTGGCGTGGAATCCAGGCAAGCCGTCGAACAGGTTGCGGATGAGGCCCAGCGTGTGGGGTGCGCCGAAGGGGATGACCTCGACGGGGATGGCGCCCGTGCATCCGAGGCGGGGCACGAGCTTGGACTCGTCGACGATGACGACGAAGCGGTCCCCGGCGCCCTCAATCATCTTCTCGCGGAGCAGGGACCCGCCGCGGCCCTTGACGAGGTTGAGGTCCGGGTCGACCTCGTCGGCGCCGTCGATGGAGAGCGCGATCCTGGCGCCCGAGGCGGCGTCGAGCGGGAGCAGCGGGATCCCGACGGCGGACGCGTGGGCCTCCGTCTTGAGCGAGGTGGGCACGCCGGCGACGCCCGGGAGCGCGCCCGCGCGGAGCAGGTCGCCCAGGCGGTCCAGCGCGTGCGCCGCCGTGGACCCCGTGCCCAGGCCCAGCGTCATGCCGGGCTCCACGAACTCCACCGCGCGGTGCGCCGCCACGCTTCAGCTCGTCCTGCGTCAGCTTCCCCGACGGCGGTGGCGAGGCGGCGGCGCTGCCCATGGCGAGGTGGGGAGGAGGAGAGGCGGCGCGGGGTTCTTGGAAGGGGGGGGGGATTGGGATTTGGGAACGGGAGGCGGGGGTGAGTTCGGGAATTGGGTTTCTGAGGAGGGGGAGGGAGGATATTTAGGAAAGAGGGGAAGTGAATGGGAGGGACGAGGGAGGCGGGAAAGGGGAGGTGGGCAGCGCAGGGATAGGGAATCAAATCGCCGAATCGGAATGGTGCGGCGCAAGTCGCATGCCGACGATTTAAAGGCCTCGGAATGCGGGAAAGCAGCCGTGATAACTGATAGACACAGATCTTTATCTATATATCTGCATCTATATATCCTATATATCAGCCCTGATAACTGATAGAAACAGATCCTTATCTATATATCTGCATCTATATATCTATATTTATATTCTATATATCTATATTTATATACAACTAAAATATTCATAACTATTTTGTTCACCACTGCGACACCAAAGCCGCTAACACAACCGAATCGTGCCACAAAATTTGGAGTCGTCGGTCTGCCTTCCCCTGCGATCATTGCTGCCGCTCGCCCATGACCATGACGCGCGAGGTAAAATGGAAATCCAACACAATCATAGCAAGGAATTTTGCCTTCCTACAATCCTACTTCGCCCTCGTCGGATCGGTCGCACCTGCACTCAATCCTCGCGGTGAATTTGGCCTGCCTCCAACGTTGCCCTCGCCCTCGCCCGCCGGCATTGCTGGACATCGCACCCATGCCGTCACCGTCGCCCTCGCCCGCTGCACGTGCTCTGTGATCCCGGTGAGTCTTGCTGCTGTCTGCCACCCCTCTCCCTCCTTCCCCCTATGCTGGATGTGCGGCTGCCGATCTACCAGGTTACGCGGAGCCGCGGACTCCAAATCTTCTCCCCGCCACCCCTCTTGCCGATCGCTGCTATTCCGCCTGTCGGGGCCCGCGCCTACGCCTGCACGCTCATCGGTTGGGGTGACGACGGCAGGCGGCTTGTCTGCCAGCGAGCCCGCGCCTGCGCGCTCGCTTGCCAGGGCGGCCGCGGCGGCGGGCTGCCGGCCAGCGGGTCCGCACCCCTCGCAGTTGTGGTAGCGGCGGCCGACCAGCATATCTCTGCCACGGAAGAGGCAGAGGAGGAGGGACTGCCAAGGGAGCAGGAGGCAGCGTTCGTGGCAGACTACGTGTCCCTCAGCGCAGATGTCGTCGGCGGCGGTCCCAGAGTCTGTGTTGTTCGGGCAGGGCCAGTTCGGCACTACGTACCTATCGGGTTCATAAACCCGAGGTCCCTAATAGGCCGCGGCTCTCAAATGCTCTCGGCAAGAAGGAAGATGAGAAGAGGCGGCAGATGAGGAATAGGCGAAGGAACGGGACGAAAGCCTTCTCCCTTCTCCTACTTAAGGAAAAGGGCGCAGCAGTTGAGGAAGGCACGCCGATCGGGTAAAGGCAAAACGACGGGGGCAAAAACCCTCTCCCTTCCCCATTTAATGCAGATGGGATACGATGGGACGCGCCCTGACCGATGAGACGCGCCCTGTCCGATGGAACAGCACCTAATCAGACGGGACATGGCCTGGGTATGGCCCACCAGTACCGCACGACTGGGCGCCAAAAACAAAGCGCCACCACACGTAGGCGGCTCTCGGCCTCCTCAGGCGGGACTTGAAAAAACCCAAACAATGGGATCTCCGCCAGGAGAGACCATTGGGCCTCCTAAGTCAATAGAACGGCTTAGAAAAACACCGAGAGATAGGTAAGGAGCAAAGGGACGCCCCATGTAGGCCATGCCGACTCTGTCACGAATGACGAGCGCGGGTCCCGGTCGAACATTTCCGATTGGAGCTCTTCAAACCCCATCACTCGAGTCATCAAGGTAACATCACCGACCCCTGCTCTTTCTTTATAATCACTCATACATCCATACACGCATTCATTCCATACGCTTACGCCCCCCGGACGATTCTACCTGAATCGCCGGGGGGCTCGGGAACTAAAGTAGTACGCATGCAATCAAATGCATCACAACGCTCCATGTTGCGTCACGAAGCGGCAGTTGTCTCATTCAAACATGAGCAACGACCGACCGAGGTTCAAAGGCTGGCCCACGAAGGGCTCGAGGCTGCCTCACGTCAAACAGAGCTAGGGAAGAAAATGCAGATGAGCCCCGTGCGGCCCTCGCCCAGTCTGCCCTGAAGCGGACAGGGTCATCTCAACCTTCTCGTTCGATCCTAAACCTCGCCAAACCCACAGAATCTCCATCGACGGGAGGCCAGCGGGCCACACGGGTCGGTCTCTGGAACGACCCAGGCATCTGCCGGGTTGCAGGTAAAGGAGCAGTGGAATGTCACAAGAGGGCTATGCCGACCCCGTCACGAACGACGGACCCAGATTCCACTTGATCATACCCGTTAGCGAGCTCACCGAGCGCGCCACTCTAGCCCGAGCGATCGAGGCAAGCGACAAAGCTCAGCCCCTCCGGTTATGAGAAACCGAGGACGGGGTAACGCACAAAACTCAAACCGACCCCTACCAAGCCCAACGGGCCTCAGGGGCTCAAGACACCTAAAAATTAACTGCCTTGGCTACGCGGGCTGCACTGCCGCTAGGATCCGCGAGTCCATCTCGCCGATCCCAAAACTAACTGCCTTGGCTACGCGGGCTGCACCGACGCCAGGACCCGCAAGTCCGTCTCGCTCGATCCCTAAACTAACTGCCTCCGCTGCGCGGGCTGCACCGACGCTAGGATCCACGAGTCCGTCTCGCCCGATCCCTAAACTAACTGCCTCGGCTACGCGGGCTGCACCGACGCTAGGATCCGCGAGTCCGTCTCACCCGATCCCTAAACTAACTGCCTCGGCTGTGCGGGCTGCACCGATGCCAGGATCCATGAGTCCGTCTCGCTGATCCTAAAACTAACTGCCTCGATTGCGCAGGCTGCACCGACGCCAGGATCCGCGAGTCTGTCTCGCCCGATCCCTAAACTAACTGCCTCGGCTACGTGCGTTGCACCAACACCAGGATCCTCGAGTCCGTCTCGTCCAATCCCTAAACTAACTGCCTCGGCTGCGCGGGCTGCACCGATGCCAGGGTCCATGAGTCCGTCTCGCCCGATCCCAAAAACTAACTGCCTCGGCTGCGCGAGCTGCACCGACGCCAGGATCCATGAGTCCGTCTCGCCTGATCCCAAAAACTAACTGCCTCGGCTGCGTGAGCTGCACCGACGCCAGGATCCACGAGCTTCGCCTCGCCCGATCCCAAAACTAACCACCGACTCTGTCTTGACTAAAATACACGCACACACGCTCGCTAACAAAACCCCCCAGACGATTCTGCCCGAATCGCCTGGGGGCTCGGGGGCTACACCCGCGGGTGTGCTCACGCGTACCCGCTAACAAAACAAAAACATCCCCCGCTGGCAACACGAAAACCCCCCCCCAGACGATTCTGCCCGAATCGCTCGGGGCTCAGGGGCTACACCCGTGGGTGCGCTCGCGCGCACCCATCACCAAGACAAAAATCTCCCAGATGATTCTACCCGAATCGCCTGAGGGCTCTTGTCGGGTTCATAAACCTAGGGTCCCTCATGGACCGG